ATAGGGCCTGAAAATGTGCTCTACCATATCGTTGAGCAGAACGCTAAAGGGATACTGTGGTCGGTCAGTGAGGTAGTCCAGTATCCATGTTGTAAGGTGATGGTCCACTCCTGAGTTCTCCAGCTTGTCCTTCGGGACCATGGGCAGAATGCTGTTAAAAGCACTGGAGAAATCAAAGAACATGATTCTCACAGTGCTCCCAGCGGGCTCTAAGTGAGAGAGGGAACAATGTAGGTGATGAATGAAAGCATCATCCACTCCAGTGCCAGGCTGGAAAGCGAACTGAAGTGGGTCCAGTGATGAGCTCACCAGGGCCAGAAGCTGTAACAGGACCAGCTGCTTCAGGGTCTTCAAGAGGTGAAATGTCAGAGCCACCGGCCTGTAGCTGTTGAGGTGAGGTCTTTGGCACTGGTACAACACAGGAGGTTTTCCAGAGCCGTGGGACACTCCCCAGCCTCAGCCTCCGGTTGAAGAGGTGCTCCATCACCCCACACAGTTGTCTGCGCAGGACCTGAGGACCCTTGAGCTGATGCCATCTGGACCCGCTGCCTTCTTGGCTTTAATCCTCCTCAGTTCCCTCCTAACCTGGGTAGTTGAGAGAGACAGGCAGGAACCTTGTGCAGGATGTGCACTGGGTGCTGTGGTTGGGGATGGGGAGTAGTGACCGTGGTGAGTGGAGAAGGTGTGAAGTGGCTGAGGTTTCAGAGGTGGAACAGCAGCAGTGGGGGTGGGTGAGTCTGCAGCCGATGTTGGAGACTGCATCCTGGATGAATCAAACCTGTTAAAGAAAAGAGTCAGTTCATTTGTCCGCCTCACATCCCCCACAGGCAGAGAGTTTTGATCTTTGTGGCCCGAGATGGTTCTAAGACCTCTCCAGACTTTACTGACATTATTCTGCTGAAGCTGGTTCTCCATCTTCAACAGACTTAAGAACATAGCTGACTGGGGAAAACGAAAGAAAACACAGAAAACAGATACTGGAGATAAACGAACATAAAGACAAGCGAGACTAGATATGAAACGTAGGATACAGGGGAAGCACAGTAACAGAAACGTAGGGATTAGAATCTATCGATATAATCTGAGCAGAATAATTAAACAACTAGAAATCCAAATGATTAAAGTAGAAACCTAAACAATACCAGTAAAAGCCTAAGGAACAGAAACACTGGATCATAGACCCAGTACCATGACAGTAAAGGACTGTGTTGGACTGGTCCACAGTGGCTGTGGTGTTCATAGTCAGTGTGAGGTTATATCAAGTGTCGCTCAGATGTATTCAAATTTAAACTGAACATGCTTAGATTTATTCACAGAATTCAATACTGTTTATTCTGCCTAGTAAAAACACAGTATAAACAGTATATTGTAAGTGTAGGGAATGGAATTGAGCTAAGCTGCTTTTATCTTATTGAATTCAGTTCCACTAAGAGCAGTAAACCTTTATGTAGTTTCATGATCACAGTTGATCCATTGATCATAGGCTGTGAACAAAAGAAAATCCATTTGAACTCACAAAAGAAATTATTTTTATTTGTGATCATTTCACCATACTGTGTCACTACAACCAAACTGAAGATTTTCCCTCCCACTAAAACCACTTTATTACCCTAACATATTAAGTTTCCTGTTCAGGTGTGGGGGCAAAGTAAAAAGAAAAGTTTGTATTCCCATGGACTAATTAGGGATGGGTATCGAAACCCGGTTCTTGTTGAGAACCGGTTCCCACTGTTTCAATTCCTTGGAATCATTTGCCATTTTTGCAAAGGATTCCCTTATCAATTCCAGTCGCCCCGAATGACGTCACCACGTTGTGGCGCTTCATTTACCCGGCAGGAAACACGGCGCCTAAGCGGCTCAAACGCTCAAAAGTTTGGTTATACTTTACGAGAACGGATGACAACAGGGCAACTTGCAATACTTGCAAAGTAGATATTTCATTTAAGGGAGGAAACACTACGAATATGCAAAAGCATTTGCTCACAAAACACGCGATAACCTGAAATGAATCGTGTTTTTAATGTCCGCTCGGATCCAACGTTCTGCATGGGACTCTTCTCGGTTGTATATCCATATCTAAGAGTCCACAGAGTGAGCTGTATGCGGTTTGGTGTTTTCGCCACGTCCTCTCGTGTTAATGCTCGAGCAGGCTAAAATAACACACTAACGTTGCATTTACTTTTTAGGCCGTGTTGATTGATTCGCGATCTGCCGCCTTACAAATTACACCTGCCATTCTAGACCTGAGCTCGGCATGAAGGTGACCATGAGAGAGGCATCGACACGCCATGTCCGGCGGCTGCCCTTTTCCATGTTGTATTGGCTTGGCAGGTTTAGTCCCCGAGGCTGCGCGTGCTCTGCTGGGCTTGCTGCTCAGGGCTCCGTGGCTCCGCCTGGCGTTACCTGAATCTGTCTGCGTTACGGTTCGCCAACGGGCGGAGGAGAGCGAGATGGTCATGAGGCCAGGCTGACCAGCTCCAAGGATTACTCCGTTGTGTGCGACGCGCCAGCTTGGGTGCATACCTTTTCTAGGTTTTCCTAGCCACAGGGCGTGCACGTATTGCTCCTCGATTTTTCCCTTCTGTCGGTAAGTGAAATTTGTGTTTTTATGTACGCGCAGGGCAATTTTTATCTTGTTATCTGACCTGTTCTTGTGTAATTTGCTATAGCGGATTAGAATAATTGGTTTGCCTTTATCCGGGCCTGTGGTTTCTTGCTACAGAATAATTTATGTTATACTTTGTTATTGCTACAGAAGAATATTTATTTTATTATTTTACATTTACAATTTTTTTTCCTGGGGACCCTGTGACACCCCATTGAAGAGCCGTAGGCTGGATCTCTTAAGATCTCACTGTTGGGTTTGTAAGGCCATGTTACTCCTAAATTTCTATCTTGTTCAAAGAGAAGATATAAAACAAAGTTCTAAGCTAATCGACCTTAGTGTTCTCCTTTTTTAAAAAAAAGAATCGATAAGAGAATCGATAAAGAATCGAATCGTTAAACAGAATCGAAAATGGAATCGGAATCGTTAAAATCTTATCAATACCCATCCCTAGGACTAATACAGCATTAGGTTTATTTAGCTGTAGTTTTACTTTTACTGGAGTCTTTTTTCACGCAAGTATCTATGCTTCATCTTAAGTAAATAATTTCTGTACTTTTGGTACCCCTATCTTTAGGATTTGACAAAATAACTGTATCTAATATTCAATTCCTTTTCATGTAACATGAGTACACTTTCTGTTTCCGAATATTAGCTCTATTGCTACCCTGTCCAATATTCTCCTGCCCTTCTGATTTGTGGTGAAGTGCTACTATACTAGTATTAGTAATTGTAGTCAGAAGAGATTTGTATATTTCTTGTGAGCATTAGCTTACTTTGTCTCACTCTTGTCAATATATAAATTCCTGCGTTCTCTCATAGTACAAGGGGTGGCTGTAGAGCAGGTCATCTACTGATCAGTAGGTTGGTGGTTCAATTCCTGGCTTCTCCTAGTCTGCATGCCAAATATCCTTGGGCAAGATACTAACCCCAAATTGCTCCCCGATGCATCTGTCGGAGTATGAATGTGTGTGTGAATGTCAGTTAGAAAGCACTTAGAAAATGTGCTGGTGTGAATGGGTGAAAGCACAAGTTGTGTAAAGTGCTTTGAGTGTTCAGAAGAGTAGAAAAGCACTATATAGAAACTAGTCCATTTACCATTTACCATATTCCAGGAGCCTGCGTTTCATTTCAGCTGTGTTGTTGTGTATTGTAGACTATACTATTTTTACTGTTTATCATGCTACTGTAACAGAAAAATGTCCCTTGTTGGATCAGTAAAATATTTATTTAATGTGGATAGCATTCATTTGAATAACACTGACTACAATGAAAATTTAGCTGTAACCACAAAAAAGAAAGTTATTTTACTGCTTTTATAGGAGCTCAAACCCAACCCAAGGACGTACCAGGCTTAGAGCTGCACTGTGGTTTTAGTGTTTTTCAGAGTGTTCAGTGGTTAGGAATTTTTTTTTCTGTTTATTGAGCTTCATTTATGCAAGTAATGTACTTAGGTCAAAGGTGAAGGGCACAGAAATATTTTATAGATGCATTAACATTTTGTTATATAAAATACAAAAACAATTGCATCCATAAGTATTTGACCTGATTTTGCCTCTTATTAAAAAGTGCTGAAGTTTAATTACATTTTTTGTTTAATTCAGGTTCTTTTTTTTTCTACTTTTGAAGAGGTTTTATGTAGTGTGCTATTGTCTGCTTCATCTCTAGTTCACTGAAGCATATTATTGCCACCTTAGTATTTTCTTTATTGGCTTTGTTTTTCCTTTGTTTCTTCTCTATTTGTTCTTCCTTTCTTCCGTCTTTAATTGTTTCTCGTCTTTTGTTTATTTTTCAGTCTTAAGTTTCCAGTGAGGAAACGTGAAACTGGAAACCTTACTATGTTTTTGCTCTATTGTCATTCCATTTCTTATATTATCTTTTTAGCCTTTTCTTTTTTAATTAATTAAATTTTTTTCTGCTTCCCAATCTAATGCCTTTGCCTAAATGCATTTTCATTTTGTGTTAGTTTTGGTATTAAGTATAATAGCAAATAGTATACAGTAGATTTAAAAAGTATATTTGTATAATTGTAAGTAATACGTTCATGATTTAAGAAAGGAGCAAAGAATGGAGGGATCAGTAACTTGTTCTCCTTCTTTCATTTTCTGCTCTAGAAAGAAAGAAAGGACAACAAAGAAGGGTTATACATACACGTACATGCACACACATGCTCTGCCCCAACCTCTGTTGCTAGGTTACTGCTGCGTCTTAATATTCAGCCATTTCACACAGTTGCATCACCCTCTGTGAGTGCTGGAGGTGGAGTCTCATGATGTTCCACCGTGGAAGGAAATGACTCCTGTTTATGAGTGACATCATGTCCTCTATCCACATTAGAGGACATCTTCTCCACACACACACACACACACACACACACACACACACACACACACACACACACACACACACACACACACACACACAGAGACATTGGTCACATTGTGTTTTCAGAGGCAGTATGCTTTAAAATTAGAACCGCAAATGAAAAGGAGTTATGAAAAATGTGTCCAAACTAAATCTACATCCCAGAATTTAAATCGGACTGACAGATATGAGTTTCTTGAAATATGAAGAATTACCTGTGTAGCGAAAATGGATTGATTATGTCATTATTTGAAATAACTACAGTACTAGATAAAGCAATTATTAATATTTGGTAGATATTTAAAGCATTGTGATCCATAGTGCACAGTGTGTTGAAGCTAGAGTATAGTGCAGCATTTTATAAAGAGCAGTGACTGGTGGCTTTTGTCACAGCTAATCTTTTTGTGATTAGCTCCCCTCTGTGTTTTTTTCCTCCCACTTTCATCTACACACATGAGGGCTTTGTCTTTTTGTTTTATTTGGAAATGCAGTTGGTAACAACATTAATATCCCAAAAGTTGTTTCTGTTCATCTGGACGTAGCGTTTTCAGTGGGAGAAACATTTTGTCACTCATCCAAGTGACTGTGGTTTCCAAAATTATAAACAGTACATTTGCATAATGACTGAAACCAGCCCACTGAATGATTCATGGTCTGGTAGGTCAGTTCTTGATCATTATTATGCAAATTGGCATGGCCATTGATCAACAACAACTGATCAATGGCCATGAGTACCATTCGCAGAGAGTTGGGGAATGGGTGCAAACACAGCATTGTAAGATAGTGAACAATACAGCATTAATATTTTATGTCTTACTCTGATTTAGAACTTCCCTGCCTGCAAGGAATGCACTATTATCTCTGTTGCACTGAACTGCATGCCATTTTTTCAGTTATTGTGTGTGAATGTGTGTATGAATGGGTGGATGACTGGATATGCAAAGCGCTTCTGGGTCCTTAGGGACTAATAAAGCGCTATATAAATACAGGCCATTTACCATTTATTATCTGCATGTCATCTCTATTCTTCATCCTGGTTTAGTTCATAAAGTTTCACTTTCACCTCAAGAGAACATGTAAGGATTCTGGCATGCTACTTAGCAAAGCTAATCAGAAACTATACCCAGGATAATACTGAGCTATTAGCACTTTGGACTAGTTTGCATTCTAATTTTATTATTAAACAAAACCACACTCTGGGAATATGATGGCACCACTCACCCACGAGCGTTTCAGAATAAAAAAAAGAAAAAAAAGCCCCTTTATTTTATAATTTATAAAAGCCAGCTACCAATACTAATGCGCTTTTATTATTAAATATATTATTACATTTATAGAAAAATAATAAGTGTCAAAATTACTGCCTGCAGGATAGTAGTTTGTGTCACAATCTGGTTGTAGGAACTCAGGTGTTAGATGTCTCCAAAAAACAGTTTATTTACAGCACCAGTGCACAGTATATCCAGTGAAGGGAATCCAAAACTCCAGGAAATCACAGGGTAGCTCTCTCACACTCGCTCACGTCTTCTTCCCACACTCACACACGCTCACACGGCAGGGAGGTCACAGGTCCGGGGAGGAAGGTCTGAAGCAGGAGAGAAGGAAAGAGAAGAAACTAATCGCGAATCTCGAATTACTAAGCACAAGTTCACAGGAGCTGCGAGAAACACTAACATCAGTAGTACAATCATCCAGTGACAAGAGGAATTGTGTTCCAGCCTCAAATAGTGCTCCCGGTGATGACAGGTGATTGTTGTCAGGTGTGTGGGTCAAGGGCGGGAGCCCACAGTGAGCTCCGCCCAGGCAGAGAGGGAGAGAGAGAGAGAGAACCAAAACAGCACATGTAGCTTTGTGGGGCCGGCCGGGCAGGCACGGAGACCATGACAGTTTGAGACTGAGTTGAATGTGTTGCATCTCTTTGTTTCACTCTGCAGGTGTGGAAGGAAGAGGAGAAAAGTGAAAAAGGCAATTTAAAGCGTTTATTTGATTTTGCATTCAGGTGGAGCATGTCGGGACCAGGACATACTATTTCAGCACAGACAGCTATGCAGAACAGGAAGAGTGGATCAGAGCCCTGAGTGATGCTGCTGAGGTCACTAGTCAACCAAGAAACAGGTTTACACACACACATGCATGGAGCTATAAAGAGATTGAAAATGTGATGTCATTTTGGGGTAAAACCGCAAAGGATTGTGGGTACGAGTGGCAAGCGGTACTAGCGCACGCAGGCTTTCACGTGAAAACAGTTACACAGCCATAAAAAGAAACACAAAGAATGGCAAGAAGCTGTTGTAGTATAAACTGCAATATCCGGTCGCATAACACTCACGGGAAGCGTCGTGGAAGAGAAATTGTTTAAGCCATGTTTCTGAAGTAACAAAGAGCCGACGGATGGCCTGGATTGCAGCCATTCGAAGACCAACTATACAATACAATACAATACAATTTTATTTATATAGCACATTTAAAAACCCGAAGGCACACCAAAGTGCTTCACAGTAATATGAAGAGTCAACTATAACGTCCCAGAACACTCCAGCTCACATGTTAGTCTGCTCCAAGAATTTCCACAAAGGTAAGTCTTCTGTTGTAGTTATTACGTAATTTATCATAACATAATTATTGATGTAGGTTACAATCAAGTCTTATATTGATTTGAATTGAATTCATTGCGCTATGCTGCTTTGTTCACTGTGGCTTTGCGGGCTATTATTTCTTGTGTTTTGTAAGAAAACCAGCCTACAAAATGCTGGAATGTGATCCAGACTGGGCCCCTCTATCAACCTGGGTCAGACCGAGTTTAAAGCTGCTACCACAGCGAGATTTGAGAGAGAGAGAGCGATATCAAAACAGCCACGAAAAGTCCTGCATATATGTGCCCAAGTGTTGTATTGAAGCAATCAAGTGATGAATAACTGTTTTCCAGTATGTTGTTTTGCAATGGCTTATTTTTGTTGCATTGTTGATTTGTTTTTCACCGAAGCAGCTAATAAAGCGTGATGGAATACAATTTTGCCTCTTTCTTGTAAGATTCTATAATAGAACGAAACACTAATGCCAGTTACAAATAAAGACTATAATTGAATGAATTACAAAACACTAATTTTATTTCTAATAGATCTGAGAATGTTGTGTAACACTACAACCTGAAACGACAACTAGATTGCGTTGACCTGTACAGGAGATAAAGGGGGAAAAAATTAACAACAGCTGTGAAATGGAATAGTCCAAATCACCAAAGTAAGTGAGTGAGTAAGTAAGTGAGTGTATGCACTCACACTTAGGACCATATAATAATAAATATTTGCGTGATGAAAGTTGGGCAGCACGCTAACATCCTTACTCCACTCTGTATGCTTGTATGGGTCTGACCCTTTCACTCCTTTGATTTTTTTCCTCGTACTTTTTTTTGCCTTTTCGTCACGTCTGTCTTTGTACGGAGCTGCCGTGTTCTCCTTCGTTTTGTACATAACAGTTTTTGGGGCAAATAAAATGCAAGTAGGGATTAAAACCGCAGAAATAACGATTACCGGTGCTGGAAATGCTAGCGCTTGATGCAGTGTTTTGATTTTGTTGCCACTCGTACCCACAATGCAATGTGCGAAAGTCACGTGGTCTGTCAATCTCTATACATGGCACTTGAAAATATGTATATGTATATATTCAGCCATAGTCTATTGGGCCAATTCATTTGAACCTATCCAGATGTCCAGTCAGATTGGTGTGAATGCAAGCCAGGCAAGAGATAAATGGAAAATTTGGATCATGTTGTTATTTTGCATGAAAAGAGCAGAAATGTACAAAAGGTCAACTTATCCCCAAGGCCATAGCCAGGGCATAATTGTAACCACATAGCAGATCCATTTTTATCAGCAAATACAGACTCCTTTCCTAAAACCAGTGAATTGACAACTTGGTTATTGATCTCTTGGTTATTGGTTATTGATCTCTATCAGTCCTAACTACAGTACACAGTACAAGAGCCAAGGCTGTGAATTACTACAGAATAAATAGTGACAGTGGCAGAGTTGAGTGGCACAATTTGACATGAAATGAAAAGAATATTTTAATGATGCAACTTAGCAGGTGAATAGACTTATGTGGCTCAGAAAATGAATGTTTTTGATCATATATTACAAGATCTGAGTGAGTATTTGTTCTGTGTCTGTGTTAGCTTGCCATCACCAGTGTGTGAATGTGTGCATGAATGGGCGGATGACTGCCAAGCGCTTTGGGGTCCTTAGGGACTAGTAAAGCGCTATACAAATACAGGCCATTTACCATTTCACAATTTAGAAATGTTGATGTCACAGATCACTTTCATATTTTAAAGATTGATCCAGCCATCCATTCTCTCCCCCTTATCAGGGTCATGGAGAGAGGCAGGGTACATCCTGGCCAGATTACCAGCTTAATGCTAATACTGATTAAATGCAGAGGTGTATAAACACATAGTGAGTGGAACAGGTGACTGAAGAAGAAATACTCATAATAGAAATCCCCCAGTAGCCTACACCTATTGCAGTGTAACGCGGGAGAGGAGGATTAAGGGTCACCTGGTCCAGCCCTAACTATATGCTTTAGCAAAAAGGAAAGTTTGAAGC